ACGGCGTTCGCAACGAATGAAAATACAGCGAAACTAAATAAATATCATTGAATTCGAATATTCGTTTTATTGAAAGTGTTCTTATGTAAAAATAAATGAGCTACGCGTTCTGCTGTATGTATCTTTCAGGATTTTTTGTGTTTCATTATAGAGAGCTGTTCTCAAAATTACAGATTAATAGGAATTCGTAAAATTGAAAGTTTTTCAGAATTTTCGTCGGATACCCGAGGAATTATTATTACATACATATGTCTTAGTACATAATATTTCCTCGGGTAATGTGTTTTTATGTGCCGTGTTATTCTCTTTACTTTACTAACCCAATTTTCTTTGATTTTATTATTTATATTCTGTGATGTCTTGAGATTCGTAGAGAAGAGTTCTCACGGTCGTTTTTATAATTTCGTTATTTTTGCATTATCCTAATTTTTATGTTACTCAGTTCCCAGGCTTGGCTTTCCGGGACGTTCTTTAAATGTGTTTTTTTCTGCTAGTTTTTATATTTTATTCTATTTATTTATTTATTTATTTATTTATTGTTAAGCTGCTAAATTAATTTTAGTTTTACTTGGACACGGCCGGCTCGCTGGCTCGTGTCGTTTGTTGTTGGAAGGGATTCGCCCGCTTTTCTTCTTCATAAGGTTCAACAAATCAGGCGGAAGGGCTGAGCCCGTATAAAGCAAAACAAAGCAAATCATATGTGTTAGCATTTGAAACTGCAGCAAGGTTCCAATTACAACGCAAATGATCAATGGAATGTCCTTGTACGTTTCCATTAGTTTTGAACAGTTCAAATTCAGAGTTAATTGTACATTCTGCAATTTAAGTGGAAGTAAAATATTTGATAGACAAAAGATTTTCGATCACAACATATCTAAGAAATTCGCGGAATAATGACTGAAAGTTAAATTGAATTCGGAATTCAACTTAGAAATTAGTGAAATCTAATTAAACGCTATTGGCAAAGTTCTGTTACGAACCTTGAGTGTAAGAGAAAGAATATTTCCCATTTCGTAATTTATATATTCTTTACCGACAGATGAATATTTAATATCCTAGAAACGCAAACAAGAATTGAGGCTTCTATGTCCGAAATATTCAGACTGGGTTCTGTATCTGTAGACACTTTCAAAACTCTCGTGTTATGTTCTATTTCGGAAATTATTACTGCAAATGTAAAGGACAAATAACATACCTCCTGCAGCAGCGGCAGCAGCTTGTTGGTCTTGATCTTGTTGTCCTGCACCAGCTCCTGCTCCATTTCCGCGTTTACCTTTGAGGGCTTCGTGTTTGCACTTCCTACTTAAGACTTTTGGCCAATTGATAAAAAACTTGATCTGAGTTTATGAATATTACCAGGAATAACTGATCGATCTTTTGGTGCATTATTGAATGTAATTTTTGCCCGTTGGTCGATTTATTTATTTGGCGCAGAACATTTATATTTTAAAATTTAATGTTTTTTCTGCTGTTTTGTGAATTTTAAAAGATTGCAAACTTGAAATTTTGTGTGATACAGACCATTTTTGTGATTTATATTGTTTTTAAATATATTTACTTTGTATTTTAGATTTGTAAATATGTTTTAATTCTGAATATATTTATATACAACCCTGTCGCAGTATTGTAATCTTGATATTTATTTGTTTTGTTATAATGAGTCGACTGAAAAATGATGTTGAGAAAGAATTTACAGGTGTTGATAGTGAAATATTAGATGGTTCTGATATAACGAAAGAAAGATGGATTGTGATAATGAAAAATTAAATGATGATGATAAATTGGGAAGCGTCCTTTCTGCTGTTAGGGCCCTCTATGAATTTGTTGATAAATTAAAAGTTAGAAGGGTCTCACGTGAGATTACTGAAGGATTGGCAGGGGGAATCGACAAAGTTGTTGAATTACTTGTTGCACAGAATTTAAGAAGTATTGAAGATAATTTTATACATTTGAAGACGGATGTTTTATTGAACATTAAACGGGGCATCGATGAGATTAAAAGTACTCTTCGGGAAAATCCACATAAACAAGAGAATAAAAAGAATAGATTTATGGATAATAAGAATTGGAAAGAAAATGAATTAGTTGTTAGACCAGCGATGCCTGGAATTGATGTCTATGATGAATTAATTGTGAATGTAAAACCTGATGATATGGATGCACAGATTATGAGTTCTTTTGTTAAAAGAAACGGTGATTTAGTTATGAGATTTAAAGAGAGTAAACAAGTTGATATGGTTCAAAATGTAATTGATTCTAAAGAAAAATTAAAAGATAAGTTGTATACACAGAAAAAAAGATTTATACAGCCAAAACTTATTGTATATAATGTGTGCAACTATGTAGAAGATGATGAAATTGCTGATAAAATGAGGAGTGAGTGTGGTTGTTCTGGCGACTGTGTGCGTCCATTATTTAGGATAAAATGTAAGGAATCAAGTGAAGTAACTCACAGAGTTTTTCGTGTGGATCCCCAGTGTCAATCCTCAATTTTAGAGGATAACAGAGTTCGTGTTGGATGGAAGGCCTATGTAGCAAAACTTTATCTTAGGCCAAAGAGATGTTTACGTTGCTTCAAATTTGGACACACCACTAAACATTGTAAAAATGATGTTACTTGTATCAAGTGTTCAGAATCTCATGTAGTTAGAAATTGTATTAAAGAAAAGGAAATATGTGCTAACTGTAAGGATTCGAATTTGAAATATGGTACTCGTTTTGATGTGAATCATCATGTTTTGGCAAGGGATTGTGAACTTTATAAGCGTGAGATTAAATTTATTTCTGAACATTTGCGTCTATTGGAATAGTATTGTTTTGGATTTTAATTAATTATAACTGCGATTGGGCTGTTTTTTTTTCTGTGCTTGTCATTATTTTAACTGCTTTATCTGTTTTTATGGCATGTAATTTTATATTTGTAATTGTTTTATTTTTTTATTCCCTTGGATATGAAAATATTAAATATTAATCTGAATCACTGTGCGGTGGCAGCTTGCCAGTTGGCCGCGGTTGAAAATATTTTAGATAAAAATTTTGATTTGATTACAGTGCAAGAGCCTTATTTTATAAATGATAAGATGCCATATTTAAATAAAGGGTGGAGAGCGGTATATGATGAGAAAGGCAGATCAGCCATTATTGTCACAAATGATGAAAGTGAATTTATTGTCGATTGTAAAATGAATGAAATTATAGCCATTTCTTTAAGGATGGACACATTAGGAATTGTGTCCGTTTATTTCTCCCCTGCAGAAAATCTACATTTACATTTAACAAGGTTGGAACAGGTTTTGGAAATGTATAAGTATTTTATTATTATTGGTGATTTTAATTCCAAAAATTTTAACTGGGGGGCAAGAATAGTTGATAATCGGGGATCTTTAACTATGGATTTTATAATACAGAATGATATGATTTTATTTAATCAAATGGACTCTTTACCAACTTTTGTATCTGCTGTCGGGGAGGATTGGACAGATTTAATCCTAGGTTCTTCCTCATTATCGACATTTAATACCGAACTGAAGATTTATAAAGAGGAAAGTTTAAGCGATCACCGGTATGTCTCTTTTGAAATCTGTGATGTCCAGCCAATATATTATAAAAATATTGTGTTCACAAAGAATATTTATAGACTGAATAAATTTTGCTGAAAACTAAAACCAAATATAGATCAGATGAGAAAAAGATTGGATGGAATTTATGATCCTGTTATCCTTGATGAATTTGTTGAGGAATTTGAAAACTTAAAGAATGCTAAGAAACATCTAATTTTACGTAAAAGGAAAGTAGAGATGACATATTGGTGGAACGCTGATTTACAGAGATGTAAACGAAGAATAAGGGCTTTAAAGAAAACATTATCAAGTTAGACAAATTGATGAAGACACTCGAAGAGAAAGGAAAATATTATATAAAAAGGAAATGGCTCTCTATCGAAAAAAGATTAAAAAGACAAAATATGAATATAAGATGAAGCATTTTTTGGATAATAAAGACTACTATGATTGCTACTTTCGATCGGCAACACGTAAATCTAGACCTTCCCAAATGATTATAAGGAAAGATGAGCAGAGTACTGATGAATTTTCTGATGTTATTAGAGGATTATTTTATGGAAAACTTTGATTGTGGAAATCCTGAGGATGGTATTGTTAAAGATGAACTTTTAACATCTCCAAACTGTGGTGCTGATGATGTTTTATTTTTCTATAGATGAGATTCGTTATGTTGTGGGAAAATTGAGAAATAAAAGTGCTCCTGGAATTGACTGTATACATGCTGTTATGGTTAAATGTTTATTTAAAAATTTTGAGAAATTTTTCGTTCTACTTTATAATAAATGTTTTAGTTTGTCGATTTTTCCGGGAGTGTGGAAGATCTCAAGAGTAATATTCATTCCAAAGGGTGACCAGGCAGTTAGACCCATTTGTTTATTAAAATTCTTTGGAAAAGTTCTGGACAAATTGCTTACCAACAGGTTATATCATTTTTAATTGGAGAATAATTTTATTTCAAATAGACAGTTCGGTTTTGTTTCGGGAAGGTCAAACAAATGATGCACTTTATGATTTAACAAACACTATACTTCAAAAGAAGAAAGATTTTCATGTGATAATTGTTTCTTTCGACGTTTCAAAGGCTTTTGATTCTGTTATATGGAATTCATTGCTCTCCACCCTTGAGAATTTTAAAATACCTAAAAATATTTTTGCAATTTTGTGTAATTATTTTAATAACAGAAATGTTGTATTTTCTTATGATGCTGATTTTAAAATTTTTAAAAATGTGTATAAAGGATGCCCTCAGGGCTCGCCTAGTGCTCTGCTGCTCTGGAGCGCCGTTATTTTTAAGTTATTAAATGTTTCTCTTCCTGAATACGTAAATGTGATCTGCTATGCAGACGATATTTTATATGTAGTATATGATGTATCTTTAGAAAAATTAGAACAGCGTTTTCAACTGGTGAGTGATATTCTAAAGAACTGGGCCGAGGATGAGAAGTTGATTTTTAATTTGCGAAAGACTTCATATATGTTTTTCCCTAGGGCCGGGCAAAATACTAGACCACCCAGGCTAAGATTTTATGGTACCCTGTTGAAAAGAGTAGATCACATGAAATATTTGGGGTGTAATTATAGATGATAAATTAAATTTCGAACTTCATTTTAAAGAAATTCAGAAGAAATCTGATGCAATTTTATTATTTTATAAAAGAAATTTTCCAAAAAAAAATATTGATTACTAAAAGAAATATACTCAGAATGATTTATAATGCTGTTGTCATATCTATAATAATGTATGGAATAGGTAGTTGGGGCTCTAGGGCGGCGGAACTCCAAAGAATAAGGAATAAGTTAATAACAATTCAGCGGCCCTGGCTTCTGTCACTGACTAGGTGTTTCAAAACTACTCCATCCGAAATTCTCTGCATCTTGGCCGGCACACCGCCTCTTTCTATATTTTATAGGTATTATTACGATAAATTTTTATTATCTACTAATAAGATTGATTTTATTCATTATGAAGAATTTTTTCCTTGTTGTACTGCTTTTTATAACTTTGATCCTTATTGTATACACCCTGCTAAAAGAGTTATTATTGATTATGAATTTCATTTTGTTGAATTTGGTGAAATTGACATTTTTACAGATGGTTCTGGAATCGATGGTAAGATAGGTTTTTCTTATGTTGTATATTACTATGGTACTGAAATTTACAATGATAAAATTAAATTGGAAAATTTTAATTCAGTGTTCCAGGCAGAATTGATAACTATTTTTTATGCTTTGAGATGGATAAAGGATAACTTATTTATCTATTATAAAATATCAATTTATAGTGATTGTCTGTCTGGTCTCCAGGCCTTAAAAATTACGAATGTAAAAACTCATTAATTGTTGATATTAAATGTCTCTATGAAGAAATCACCAAAATTCATGTTGTGAAATTTAAATGGGTTAAGTCCCACGTTGGGATTTTGGGTAACGAAAGGGCCGATGTGTTGGTCAAGGAGGCAGTTTTGGGCGAATCCGGGGAGTGTTCCATTGTCCAACCATCCAGAAGAATTCTTGTAAATAAAATAAAACAATTTTATATTGATATGTGGAAAAAGGTTTGGAATGAGTCTGATAGAAAAATGGATTACAGTTATAATTTGATCCCTACTTATAATAAATGTATTTCATGCTGCCTGGATCTTAAGGACATGGACGCTTCCCGGAGTACCTAAAGAGATTCGGTCTACAAGAAAATGAGTTATGTTATAATTGTGGAGTTACGGGTTCAGTTAAACATTTTGTAAAAGAATGTGATTTAACTTATGATATAAGACAAAAGTTCGGACATATTAATACATTTACTGGAAAAAATACTGAATTTGAATTTGCTAGGGAATTAATGAATTTTATTAATAATAATCATGTTAATGTCGGAATTTTGATTTAACATGTGTTTAGTGTTTTTATGATAGAGCATGGTCTGTGTCTTGTGTTTTGTCCTTTTGTTTAGTTAGTTTCTAACCATTCTATTTATTTTAATTATTATTGTGCCGTTAAGGTCCATTAGGTTATATCATAATGGGTGTATTTTATTATGTGGTTTTTAACTTGGCGCCCCCCTGGAAAAGTCATAAAATCAAATCGATTAGGTGGATGGGGGGCTGCGCCTCTTTCTGTACCATACTGTGATCGACAAACCATACGGTGTCATAATTTCTAGAAATTTCTAAATATAAAAAGAGATTAGGGACATGTAACATACCTCCTGCAGCAGAGGCAGCAGCAGCGGCAGCAGCCCCTTGGTCTTGTCTTTGTGGTCCAGCACCAGATCCTGCCCCAGCAGCAGCAGCAGCTCCAGCAGCACTAGAACTTTCTCCGTATCCACCTCTATCTCCGTAACCTTGAGCGCCAGCGGCGGCAGCAGCAGAAGCAGCAGCAGCTCCTTGGCCTTGTCTTTGTGGTCCTGCACCAGCTCCTGCTGCGGCAGCAGCTCCAGCACGACTAGCTCCGTATCCACCACCATATCCTCTACCTCCATAGCCTTGCAGAAATACACATGTTATATTTTAAATGAAGTTTTGGCAACGCGTTGACAGCATATTTTAACAGTATGAAATATTAGAATATTATAGGTTTATGAGTGATGTTTCAGCATCACATTGCGAGAATAATAAAGTTTCTATTTATTATTTTCATAATAAAGTTTCTAGTTCTTGCTATAAAAATACTTGAGGTGTTCTAAACTTTACAGTTTTTAATGTTTACTCGTGAAAAACACTGTTATGTGCATAGCAAAGATTTCATTCTAGATTTCAACACTGATGTGTTTCTATCTTAAAATATGACTTTGAAAATGTACTCTATCTGATCCATACTGCATGTAATTAATGACGCTTGAATATGTAAAACATCTGTGAATATTATTTTACCTATACGATTTTTTAAATGAGGTGTTGAATATTCCTGCTACAAGTAATTAAACAATTTGATTTAATAGCATATTTGAAATCCCTTGAAAGATCTAAATATCTAACCTAAGGCAACGAATTATTTAAAGCATTATCTTGAGAAATTGAAAAGTTAAATGTTTTATGATTTATATAATACATAAATAAAGAAATCAAATTTGAATTAATCAAACTGTAGCTCCATATTAATCTTATGGTATACATTTAAACTTGTGCTTTAGACAGAAAGAAAAGATAATATGAAAGCAGTTAAGTTTTTTAATAATCACGGGGAAACATATATGTGATATTTAAATTATTAAATTTCCTAGAAATGTTCCGTGAAAGACTGAAAAGTGTAAACCTGTGGTAAGTTTTACACCTGTTTTAGAGATCTGAATCTAATTTTCCCATATACGTGAGCAAACGGATGCTCCTCTTGTAGTATATATTACTGTTTACGTAAACCATGATTTCGAGTTTTTTTAGATGCCCTACGTGTATAAGTACGACAGTGACTTATATGTACATACACTGACCAAGCTGTAAATTATAAGGGCTCTAAACTATTAGCTCTAAAGTGGAAATATTCTTTTTATGAAAATATTCCCCTCTAGAATTAAATGAACTACACGTTCTAATATGGATATCGTAAATGTACTTCCTGTGTTCTGGATCTTATAGTTTTCTTGGATCTTATAGTATCTTGGATCTATAAGCTATAAGATATTTCTTGGATCTTATAGCTTATAGGTGGATATTATAGCTTTCTTGAACTATATGACTGAAAAGTGATTAAGTAACAATGTAGCTAATCGTAGTCAGTCAGGTGGGAATGCACATTCCTAATGTGGAGAGATTCCCAACGTGGGAATGCACATTCCTAATATGGAGGAACGTAGAATAGTGCACATTCATAAAAATCATCAGTTTATTATAAAACAAATATATTTTAATTTATATAGATAAGAAATAAATAAGAAAGCAAACTAGAGTTTTAAATTTTAAGACCTGCCTTTGTTTCTTTTAGTTTATACATCCACAACAAACGACTTAATCTTGGAAGATCGAACTTAAAACTTTTATACTTTATCGAACGGCAATATTTTGAGAATTATTTATGTGCATAAAATTTTATATATAGGCTTATGTTTCACACATTGTCAGTATGCTGATTTTAATCGTTCAGTTTATTAATCACTAACAACTCATTAAATCTGATAGTTACATTAAAGATGCTATATTTGTCGAATGGTAGTTTCCTTAGTATCGACAAGCAGGTCTGTATGTCTAGCAAGCAGGCGGCTGTTTGATAGACATATCAAAAACTCTCTGTTTCGCCGCCTGACAGTATACACTTAAAATTGCTGAATTTATTAATAAAAAACAAATATTCAATTCGAAGTACAAATCGAAAAATTTATACCTTTCTGAATGGCAGCATTCTAACACTCAAATACGCGCAAAGACACGTAGAATGAAAAACAATGTTATTACATTTTGTGCGGTGGCAACACTAACCAAGAGTTGCTTCTAGACATTTCGTTCCTGTCTTACATCAGTTCGAAAGAATGATCGTGTCTAATATGTTTATCTTCACGTGGTGATACATAGTAACTCAATTATATTTTAGATCTTAAACGTAGATGACTTATTTTACAGTCAAGAACGTAAAAAAAATTCTAATGAAACCCTCGTTCATCAAAACGAAATGCAATCAAAATCATGCACAAAATGCTTCGCAATGAAACGAAATGTTGAGACCTAAAGCAGAGTAAACTGCTGAAGAAGTACAAAATGCTTCGCAGCGAGAAAAAATATATTGTGGACAGCGCAAAGTTTTCAACTTCCGTGCATGAAAGCAAATGGCATGAAATAAAAATAAAATAAAAGATAATTTTTAAATTAGCATTTTAAACCTCAACTAAAATAATAACATTCAATTGCGTTAATGGTGATCGAGTTGTCAGAAACGTTTGTATGAAATTCTTTCAACTATTACAGCCAGACAGCTCAGAACATTGCTTTCGTTATAGACATGATTAGAAGACCACTCCTGAATACGTTTGCAGCATTTAAATATGATATGATATGAGGGACGCAGGCCGACCCTCCTGGCCGACTTTACGTCGCCCTATGGCCTTTTTGCGGACTGCGCCAGAGCAAGCCAGAAACATCACCTTCAACAGACATAAAGAATATAACTAAAAGCCAAAATTCAAATTAAATACCCTACTGCAAGCTTATTATGATTAATCCTCGCCATCGTTTTCCTGGCAAATGTTTTCAGTCTTTTAAAATCATTTAAAATATCATATATATTAAAAACATCATTTTACTAAACTCGTTCCTGATATCAGTAAAATATTAATATGTTTCCACGTAATGCTCTTCATTGCCCGATTCTTTACAGATATCACATTTAAATGAAAATTAATATTCAAAAATTTCAAATATGTTTTTAAAATCAAAACTGAAATAAAAAGCATACCTCCTGCCCCAGCGGCGGAAGCGGCGGCAGCAGAAGCGGCAGCACCTGAACTGGAGATTTCGTTTGCGCTGACTTGAGTAAACATGGTTATCAATTCATTCATTTCATTTAAGAATACTTGATCTACCATGCCTGTGGTTTGCATAAATGCACTTGCCAATGCATCCATTATTGCTCCAGTTTTGACTGACAGCGGTTGTCCTCCTTCTCCAGAGGCGGCTATTTCTGCTACTGAAGAGGCGAAAGCCATGTTCAGAGCTTGTAGCTTGGATTTGGAGCTTTTATTCGAACGAGCACTTCTCTCGATGGCGTCCATAATGGTATCGCTGATGGATGATATGTCGTCCATTTGGTCATACGAAAATGCCCCAGACATTTGCAGTTGTTGAGTAAATGCCTGAAGGAGACCTTCTGCCGTTCCAGGATTTCCCCATACGTCAGCTGAAGCTCCTAAAGCAGAGTAAATCTGCGTGCAGGTGAAGAAAAGTACGAAGGTGAGTCGAGTTATCCACCCCATGGCTAATAATCGCTTTGGGTTGTTCTCGAATGTGTGATCTCCAGTCCAGAAACCGCATCTTTTATACACCGAAAATCGTGACTTTGATTCTCATTGGCGTGACTCAAGTGCAGCTAATTCAACAATTTCGTCACATGTTTCTCTGGAGCCTTCTCGGTGTCTCAGGCGGGGCTTGAATACCAAGACGCAGCTGCTTTTGATGCGTCAGAAGTTTCATCTGGCGCAATGCGTAGGTAGAATATTCGGGCTAACCATTTTCAAATATTTTATCGCTAAATTTTATTACTTTTTCAAAGTTATACTTTTAGTTGCAAGAGTTTTATTTCAAAATTTAACTTCCTATAATAATCAATTAATAATAATCAGTTAACGTGTCTATAGGCCATCTGCCCTGACGGTTAACACCATTTGCAAATGAATGTTTTACTTCCTTTAAAAACTAAATTATCTCACACGAGATAGTATACCTTAATTTTCATTTACGTTTTCCGAGCAAATGTTTTGGGTAATACTGTATTGCATTGCGTATTTAAATTAAAGTACTATCAGAAACTATAATTATCAGAAAATGTCTGCTTATTTTCAGATTTGCATGTTGATATCGCAACCAGAATACACAATACAATCTTTCTCTTTATAAACTCTTCGATGTTCAGAAGAACATTTCCCAAGTTTAATTATGTATTATTGCGAACCTCATTAGTTAAGAGGACTATAAAATATTTTAATTCAATACAACGTGATCCGAAAATTTGCTTTTGATTTTGCTTTATATATTAATGCTTAATTTTCTTAACTTGATTTTAATCTTGTTTATAATTAATATCGTTGATATTCAGTATACTTATCTGCCTATCCGCGATATTGTTAGGATTATTAAATTCATTGTAAAACCGTAGGATATTACTAAATGTTTCCTGTGATTATCTTTTTCTTTTATTTTTCCTCTTAGGTTTGTCTCAGATTAGAATCAGAAAATTTCGCGGGGAAAAGACAGAATTCAGAATATATGTTAGCGAAAATATTATAATGAAACTGAGACAATTTTTTCCGTAAGATATTTTAAGTTTTCATAACATACTTCGTGCTTATAAAATATCTTACCGACCTTTACATCCGAAACCACTGGTCGTATAATTTGTGCAAATTACGAAATATAACTTTAAATTGTCTCTCTATATATATTTAGGAAAAATTTTGAACTTTTTTGTGAAAAATAAAATGCCAATAAAGAAAAGCTGAAAACATGGTCAATGTTTTATGTAGCTGTTAAGTATTCAATTTTAGTTTATGAGTGTAAAAAACTACTTTTATTCAAGGTTTTGTTCTTTACCAACATTCTGTACTTTTTGTTGTGGAATTTATAAAACACGTTAGAAAATATTTGAAAGCCAAATTAATGTATATGTGTGTTTTTCGAGTTTTGAAAAGGATTGGGGGATGCTTTT